CTTTTCAATACATGGCGGGTACGAGGCTGTACTGACGATTCCCACTCCTACCCGCATGCATATTCCAGTCTGTGTTTACAGCTAAGGGATGAAACACACCGAGACAGCATCGAAAAATATCACCGCACTACATCTGAAAGATAAAGGCAATTTGCACCATAAAATAACACCTTATGCATGGCTTGCGTACAATCTTGTTGGTCTATTATTCCAAAACCCAGGTTTTTATAGCTCTCTCGATCAGATTCTTTTCTCAGTATTTCAAGATATAATTGTTGCGCGGGGATGGCTTCTTCAGTAATACATCAAAATCAAACATTTTATCAGCGGCACTAAAAGGCGGAAAACAGAATGAGGGAAAGAAACTATTCAAAGCAATGAAATATCAAACTTTACCGACCTTATTGGTAGAATTAAGAAGAGTGAGAACATCGCCTTTCTTAATTGACACTTCTCTTGGTGACTTTTCTGTATAATCATACAGGGCCATGACGCATTCACGTCCGAGCTGTCCGCCTGGCTGCTCCTGGTATCTGCACTGACTGGCCTGCTTTTGCAGCTCCTAAAAAAATTCGAAAATAATTCAGGAAATCTAATTTCAACCTTTAAAACGTTGGAATATGAAATGATTTCACTCACATCAATCGTTGACTTGAAAGCTTCGAGATCGGACATCAAAGCACGGTGCTTCTTCAGCAGCGACTCGGCGCTATCCTCATCCTTCCCATAATCAGTGCTGCCGACCACCGGCTCTTTCTCACGCATCCACGACTCTGCTTCATTTGCATCGGCCAAATATTGATGCGCCTGAGACAGAATGCCTATTTGTAAGAACTTTCTTTCAAGAAATTAAGAAAAAGACTATGAATTCTTGGCGGTGTGCCAAAAAATGTTGCAAAAAGTTGCCTGTAAGGAATCGTCGAGATCCTGGCGGCGCTTATCTGCCTTTGCTTTCAGGTTTCTCCAGCTGTCTCGGAGCTGAGCCAGCTTGTCACGAATATCCGGTGCAAGAAAGTGCCCCTGCTTAATCATTGCTTCGGCTGCTGCTGCTACTGCTTCAATTTGTGGTTCATGGTTTGCAATTTCGGCGATCAGTGCCTGCTGCTTTTTGATCAAGTTTTGCACACCGATTAAGTCACGTCCTGTAATCACTTTGCCGCTAAAATGATAATTTTTAACGATGGACTGATCATACTGAATGCATCCCACGCGACAGCTTCCACAACAGCTTCATCCACGCCTCAAGTGACCAAATCTGGCCAACCGCTGACTAGGCTGCCAATTTTGTTTTTTTCAGCCCATATTTCAAAGGATTTTTTCTTGCATATTATATTCTACTGTAAATCAAAAGAACTAACACATCAATAGCAAGATTAGTTTTCCAACACTACTCTTAAGTTGGCCATCTCTGTTTGTCAGTCGTATTCATTTTTTTATGCGTTTTTTGCAGCTATGCAATGCAGAAAACGCATATTGACAAGGGGTAGTTTGTGTGTCTCTGTGTGCGTCTGTCACGGTTTTTTATCTCAAGACCTACAAAAGCTACAGGGCTGAAAGTTCGGGAACTTAATCTACATGCACGTACGGACCCCCATCCCCAAAATGGTTAGTCTTATCTGAGTGGTACCCACGTGAGGGCCCGCCAAAGTTTTTTACGGGTAAGCTGCAAACTCGGGAACCAGAAATGGTGGGAGGCTGAGACTTTAAGGAGACGTTCCTCGTCCAAGTAGAAATTAACTAACTCAAACCAGACCCCAGGCAAGCGTGGTAGCCGCGTACGGGTCCGCTAAAATTTTTTACGGGTAAACTGCTAACTTGGGGACCAGAAATGCTGGGAGGCTGAAATTTTAAGAGGATATTCCTCGTCCACGCAAGTCTCAACGAGGGTATGCGCGGTACCCACGTACGAGCCCGTGAAAGTTTTTTCCAGTAAGTTGCTGACTCGGGAGCCAGGCAAGCTAGAAAACTGAAATTTTAAGGAGGTGTTTTCTGACAGTTCTTAATTTGTTTAGCAAGAAGCATTTGCTTAAAAACCAGTGCCAGTATCGACAAAAACTGTGGGGAACTATGCAAAAAACGCATCTTCGCACGGGCAGCCCGTAAGTTGGCCAATTATTACTTCTTTCATTTTTCTTTCGTCACTGTTTTTCTCCCTTTTTTATGGAAATCTGGACTCATTATATC